CAGATGAAATTAAAGCTGCGAGCAGCGGGCCCTCGCACTCTGCGCTAGTTGAACACAACCTAGGAGACAGACAGGGGACAGTTTGACGACAGCGGTACCGAGGTGATTTAGTTTCCAGAAGGACTTTTTGCTAAAAAAAATGTAAATCATTATTTAATTTTCTGATTTATATTTTTTAAGTTACATTACTTTGTTACATTACTTCAAATTATGTTACAAATTTATTGTTTTTTATTTTCAAAACAAAAAGTAAAAAATGGCTGTTTTCCCAATTTTGTTTTTTTACTATAAAACGGAAATCCTTTGGCCGCAAAGTACGCTGATCACCTGATACGTTTGTTACGTTACTTTAAGTTACATTATGTTACGTTACTAATTTTCTGTTTTTATTTTCAAAACAAAAAAATGAAAACGGCTGATTTCCCAATTTTGTTTTTTTTTTCATTTCAAAACATAAATCCGTTGGTCAATGACCACCTGATATGTAATATTTTTATAAATATATTTGAATGTTGTCAATAAAGTAACTCCACTGTGGCAGTAAGTAGAAACCACAGCAGGAGTCTGGTCTCCTCCACTCAGCCGTCTCTCCTTTAAAGCAGCTCAGTTGTTGTTTATCTGCCTATCGGGGCTTTGGAGAGGAGAGAACAACATGTTTCAGAGGAAGAAAAACAACAACAAAGCAAAAGGGCGAGGAAACGCCAGCAGAGTCATTTGCACCCCTGTGAGAGCTGCAGGAGGGAACAGACGTTTACCAAGCACACAGAAACTCTCAAACTCACGTCGTCGTAGGTGATTACTGCCGGGATTCTGTTCACAACACTTCACAGTGATGAAGATCTATTATTTCTTTCCAGCACACTCGTTATGGTTCGGTTGGTCTGGGTGGATGAGTGAGATTCGCTGATTAACAGTTCAAGATCCTTCCTTTAAGTTATGTTATGTTACTTTAAGTCATGTTACGTGAAATTACGTTATATAACTTTAAGTTACGTTATATAACTTTAAGTTACGTTACATTACGTGCACAATGTGGTGACAAAGCGCAGTGGCGCCTGCTGATTGCCGCTGGTGGAGAAGAGAGGAGAACTTGAGAAATTTAGATAAAAATGAGCATATCTTAAAAACTATAAAAAATAAAAAAAATTCCCAGAAATATTTTGTTCATGTTTCTACATTAGAAATCTTCACTGTTTTAGTTTCTTTACTTATATCACTTTTAACTTATTGAACAGATTGTACAGATTATAAGGATATGAACAATGTGTCCTCATCATGTTAATAAAAAATACTTCTTTGCTGCATACAAACACAATTTCTAGAAAACAGGATTGACATTTATATTTGTTTACAACCTTCACTTCTGTTGCATTGTTTGTATCAGTCAGCATTGTCGTCTACCTCTGACATTTTCTGTTGCTTCCAGCTATCAATTTCTTATAACTTGGATTAAACTGTTTCCATTTTGTCACCCAGAATGCAGCAGAAATAATCATCTTCAACCTCACGTCACCCAGAGTCGCCCCCACGGGGACCGGGACACGTTTATGTGAGGACAAGTAATCCAGAAAGGACACTCGTAAACGCTGGGGACTTTCAGATATATTTATGACATATTTTTTACCTGGAAAACCTCAAAGTCAAACCCTTTTTGACACTGGCTCATTTTGTTCTGTGTGTATCAAATATTTGCTTTTTTAAAATACAGAATAAAAAAACATTTTTACATCAGCATTTAATTTATTAGCTTTTAAGCTAATAAAATAGAGCTGTGAATCACTTTGTCTGTGTGACGCCTGAATCCCATTTTTGGCTTGAAAACACACATAAATACACACACCTGCACACACACACACACACACACACACACACACACACACACACACACACACACACACACACACACACACACACACACACACACACACACACACACACACACACACACACACACACACACACACACACACACACTGCAGTGTTGTTGGATAGATGCCCCTGACAAGATTTCCCATTGGATATATGGGACCATCTGTGGGTTCGCCCTGGCTTTGTTTGCCGTCGGAATTAAATCCCGGCACCAGCCAGTAGATCACGACGTCCGAGTTAACACAGCTCACTGCAGCAGCGGCTTGTAACAGGATACACTCCAGGCAACAACAACAACAACAACAACAACAACACAGCCCTGCTACACACCACAGCAAACTCATCTTCAAGTTCTACTCTAAGTTTTGTGCTGAATATTGATTTAAAGCTACAATCTACAATGGAGCTGTTGTGTTTTTACATTATCCCAAATGTTTCCAACAATATTCAAACTCTTTTGGTAAGTTTGACTTCAGACTTTCATCTTTACTGGACAAAATGATGACATTTATAACCGACTGTCTTCCAAACATGAAATGGTGCACGTGTTCGGGCATCTTTATCTCGGTGTGTGAATTGTATTTGATAAAAATGTAAACTTTAATTTGGCTGACTGTATTCTGTGTGTTTA